AAAGAGGTCACGAGACCAAACAGAAAGCCAATAGGCTCATAGACCAAAAAAGCTAAGCAGAGCCTAGATTGTGGTCTCCAAATACAATTTTCCATAAAATGATACTATGGCTCCTTGGAGAAGTCTTTCTAGAGCTAAGACAGGAAATGTCTATCCTTACATCAACATCTGTGCCTCTGTCTTGAAACAAAATACAGATGGCAAATATGCACATGTAAACATGCTCAACTTCATTAGTCATCGGGGAAATGCAGATAAAAACCACTGTATCCATTTGAACAGGCCTTTATGCTGCAATAAAACCCTCAGCGTCTTGGTAGCTTCACACAACAAAGATGGTTTCTTACTGTATAGAAAGCTACAAAGAATGTAGCATCTATCTTAGTGAGAAAAAAAGATGGATGATCTACAAAACTATAACTTTTCTTGAGCATATCAAAGAACTGAGGTCACAAGGCAACCAAGGAAAGTGAATTCTAACAAAGAACAAGCCCCTGCAAGGAGAGAGAGGGCACACCAACCATTGGACCTTTGGCAGAACACGGCTGAAAACGGCAGCCACCGTACACGTGGTGAAGAAAGCAACCAAAGTTTGAGCAGATCATTAGAGGCAAAGTTTGGGATACCACGTCAGTGTGGAATAGCTGGAGTTCCCAGACACAAGGGGCAATCACACACACTGGCAAACTCCTTCCCATGAGTCGCCAATGGGAGCCTGTGAGAAAAACTGGGGGCAGGGCAGCAGACCGGAGACTGCCAGTTCTTGCTGACGCAGGAGTGAAGGAGGTGCTTGGTGCCTGCCAGGGGATGAGTATAAGGTCTCATCTACCTCCTCAGAAGTAGCAAAAGCAAAATTCTTCAAAGCAATAGCTTTCTGCTACTGGTAGAGAGGAACCCCTCGCTCTCAAGGCCCAGATAAAATCCACGGTTCTCACCCCCAGGACATGGAAAGATCCTCTGTCTTTTCGTGTAGTCACTGAGGAACTCAAGACTGACAGGGAACCATCATCTATTTTTTAAATTTATTTTGTATTGGTGTGACGTTGGTTTATAACATTAAATATGTTTCACGTGTACAACATTATATTTCTACTCTGTGTACGCCGTGGCACCCTCAGAACACCATCATCTTGAATGCTACTGCTACTATGGCATTGGAAGAGAGTTCTGACATTTTGGGAATTGTTTGTTACAGTAGGTAGCAGTGCTCACCCTAATACGCTGGGAAAATGCAGTTAAATATTACACCATTTTTTCTCCCTTCCCCTAGCAGCAATAGATCTTTCCCTCCGTAGCTCCTGGTGAGTTCTGAGGGCACCACAGCTGGCTTCTTCATGTGACATTATTTTTAATGTTTTATACAGTCAAGATTCATTTAGATTTACTCACATATTTTCAATTTCTGGTACTCTTCATTCCTTCCTGAATTTCTGTGTTTCCATATGGAATTATTTTTCTGTGCCTGAAGAATTCACTTATGGCTGTTAATTTTCTGTTTTTGTGTGTATGGATTTGTTAGCTCCCTCCTTCTGTCATAATTGTATTGCATTTAAATTTTATCATTTTAAACTCCCTATGACATTGTTATTATTTTACCCCATGGTTGTTTACTTGCACTGACCCACGTATTTTTACTACTTTGTTGCTCTCCATTCCTTCTGATATCTTGGATTTTCTCTCTGTGATCATTCTCTGACTACCGTTAAGTTGATCCTTTAGAATTTCTTTTGGGAGGGTCCGTTGGTGATCATTCTTAGTTGTTTGGTTGGTTGGTTGGTTGCTTTTGCCTGAATACAGCTTTATCTCATCCTAATTTTTTTTTTCACTATAGAAAATTTCAAACATATTCAAAGTAGAAAGAATAGTATAAGCTAGTACTCCTGTACACCCATCAGTCAGTTCATGTTTGAACAATCCTGTTATATGTATACCAACACCCACGGGCCTGGATTATTTTGAAGCAAATTCCAGGCATCTTACCATTTTATCTTTTTAAACAACCACCACATCCACTGTCATTCCTAATATTACATCCAATCAGTGTTCATAGTTCTCCATCATCTCATGCTTTTGTTGTTTGTTTTTGTGGGTTTTTACGTATACAGTCTATATGAATTATGATCCTCATAAGTCCATACACTGTAACTGGTTGATGTGATTTGAAAGAAATTTAACTATTAATCTATAGATCCCTCTTCCATCTCTTTTTCTTTTCTTATAAATGTTTATTGAAGAAGTGGAGTCATTTTCTTTTAGAGCTTTCCACAGTCTGGGTTTTGTTGATTGTGTCCCCGTAGTGTCATTTAACATGGACCTCTGCTGTCCTATTTCCCTGATTTATATTTTCTATAAATTGATCAAATTCAGGTTTGATTTTCCTCCTCATTCTTTTAAATGAAGGTGGAACTCACATAATGTAAAATTACCTATTTTAAAGTGTAAAATTCAGTGGCATTTAGTACATTGACAGTGTTGTTCAACCATCACCTCTGTCCAGTTTGAAACATTTTCATCACCCCAGTGGGAATCTTTGTATCCAGTAAGCAGTCACTTCCCATCACCCACTCCCCCAGCCCCCAGCCCCTGGCAATGACTGATCTGCTTTCTGTCTCCATGGCTTTGCCTCTTCTGGATATTTAATATAAATGGAATCATACAATATGTGACCTTCTGTGCCTGGCTTCTTTCACTTACTATAAGGTTCATCTACATTGTAACATGTATCATTCCCTTTCATGGCTAAGTATTTCACTGTATGGATGTGCTACCATTTCATTTGTCCATTCATCAGTTGATGGACATTTGGGCTGTTTCCACCTTTTGCCTATTGTGAATAGTGCTGCTATAAACATTTTGTACAAGTATCTGAATACTTGTTTTCATTTCTTTTGGATATGTATCTAGGGTGGAAATGCTAGTTTATATGGTAATCTCATGTTTAACTTTAAGGAACTTCCCTTCACTCTTGAAAGATGTTTTTACTGAGTGTATAATTTTAGCTTGGCTATGATTGTTTTTATACTTTGAAATAGTATTACATTATGTTTTGGTTTCCATGTTGTGAAGAAGTTGATTGTTAAGTTTAATCATTAGTCCTTTGAAGATAATCTTTCTTCTCTGATTGCCTTTAAAATCTTTGCCTTTGGTAGAATGCAGTTTCACTCTGATGTGTACATATATGTATTTCTTCTTATCTCAACTACTTAGGACTTCAGTCTTTTGAGAGGGAATATAGCATAGCTATTAAAAAGCAGTGATTATTGCCAGACTAGGTTCACATGCTGACTTCACTATTAATTAGCTTAGTGACTTTAGGAAAATTACTTAACTTTTCTGAGCCTTTTTAAAAAAATTTTTATTGATACAATTCATGTACAATATTATACAAGTTACAGGTGTACAACACAGTGGTTCACAATTTTTAAAGGTTATAATCTATTTATAGTCATTATAAAATACTGGCTAGGGAATTCCCTGGCGGTCCCGTGGTTAGGACTTTGTGCTTTCACTGCCAAGGGTGCAGGTTCAATCCTTGGTCCAGGAACTAAGATCCCTCGTGCAATGGGGCATGGCCAAAAAACATATATATATTGGCTATATTCGCTGTACAATATATCCTTGTTGTTTATTTATTTTATACGTAATAGATTGTAACTTGAGCCTGTTTCTTAATCTGTAAAATAGGTATAATCTCTACCTCATAGGATTGTATGATTAATCTTCAGACTAAATGAGTTAATATATTAATACACTTACAACAGTGTAACATGTAGTTACGTAACTGTTCACCTTGATAATGATGATGAGCACAGTCTGTGGGTGGGTGTCTTTCATTGGTTTTGGAAAATTCTCAACCATTTTTTTTTTTGGCTGCTCCGAGTGTCTTGTGGGATCTTATTTCCCCAACCAGGGCTTGAACCCGGGCCACAGCAGTGAAAGCACTGAGTCCTAACCACTGGACCGCCAGGGAATTCCCACAATTTTAATTTTTTTATTGACTGTTTCCTATGATGCTTTGACGTAGGAAGACCTTTATTACCAGAGCTTCTCTCTATCCAACATTCTAATTCTGAGGCAGAATTCTCTCTTCTCCTTCAGGTTGCCAGAGTCTTCGGCTTAAAGGGCACCATAATGAAACTGAAGCAAGGATCGTTTCTGTGGTACCTCTATCTGGATAAACTGTATTGCTTATTATCCGTGAGAAATGTGAAGGCTTTGGTGGAGTATTTTCACCTTCTTGATGTGCACCGCAAGAAAACCTTGAATGGTTAGTACTTTCAGAAATGCTTCCTCTGGGTCATTACCTGGTTTTTAACGAATGTGCAGGAAAATTTATAGAACCAGAAACTATTTCATTAATGTATATATTATATCTTCTAAATGAAGCACAGAGAAAACTTGCCAACTGAGACTTGAAGGCAGTTCTGTGAGGAGGATAAAATGGCAGGCTCTGGGGTTAGGTCCTCCACCCATTATTCCTTGGTGATTTGGAGAACATCATCATCCTCTTTTAAGTCTCATTTTCCTCATCTGTAAGTGAGGCTTCTAATGATGGAGTCCATCTCACAGTTGGAAAAAAAAAGATAAATGAGATAATGCATGGAAAATGCTTAGCATGGTGCCTGGCACACTGTAAGGATTTCATAAATGTTCCTTATTATTACAATTATTCCTGGGGACTGAGCCCCACTCAGGCATTAACCCTCAAGACTCCCTTAGCAAGACTTCTCGTCTATCGAATGGGAGGTTTGAATCAGATGATCTGCAAGATCCCTTCTAATTCTTGGTAATTGTGAGTGACCAGAAAATGGTGATGATCTCGACCCTGCCTTTGAGTGCACAAACTAACAGAAGACCAATTAAAACACTTTAGGTTTTTTTTTTAATATTTATTTATTTATATATATTTTTGGCTGCATCGGGTCTTAGTTGTGGCAGGCGGGCACTTTCACTGCGGTGCACAGGCTCTTCATTGCCACATGTGGGCTTCTCTCTAGTTGTGGCGCGCAGGCTCAGTAGTTGTGGCGCACGGGCTTAGTTGCCCCACAGCATGTGGGATCTTAGTTCCCAGACCAGGGATCGAACCCGTGTCGCCTGCATTGGAAGGCGGATTCTTAACCACTGGACCACCAGGGAAGTCCCCTAGGTTTTTTTCGTTTGTCTGTTTTGTTTTCAGGACTGGGTATAAATAAGGTGTCCGACTCATTGTGACCTGAGAGAGATGTCATTTATCAATAAGGAGTTTCTTCCATAAAGATATTTTAAAGAGTTCATTCAATCTTTATAAAATAATAAAAAGATACTTAATTTTCTCATACTTTCATGCCTCCAGTTTACACACAGTATGTCACCAAATCTTCACAATAACCCGGTCCTAGATAAAGCAACTGTAGGACGCCTAGATGTAAACAGAAGATCTGGGACCAAAACCCAAAGCCCACACTCTTAGTCTCACCAGCGTTTGCTGAGCAGAGTCTGATCTCCCTGGTAACTAAATCACTCCCTGGTGATGCAATACCCAAGAGATAAAGTCATACTTGTGTCTTCTGGTCACCAAGGGACTGGATGGTGACCTGAAAGGGAGAAGGCATAGCCTTGAGTTTTGCCTTCCAGGGAGATAGTGACTTAAAGCCTTGGAGACTTGAGTGGGCCAGAGCCAGCTGATTGAAAAACAGTATTTGTTTAGTAACTACTAAGTCTCACAATAAAACATTTCTCAAGGAGCAAACATCATGGTGTTTACACATGGTGTGTTGTTCCCAAGTGCTCGTACCTGGTTGGACTCATACCTGGTGGGACGTGGGGAAGGAACATCAAGAGGCCATCAGAAACCCCCAGATCATGACATTGTGACGACTGGTTTCACTGTGCACTTAGCCAGCTTCAGCCAGGACTCCAAACCACACAGATGTGCTTTACGGATTTAGTGGAGCCATGTCTCGTGCAGGAGGTAGTCTCTGTAATCAATGGGCAAGGAGAAGTCACATGTAGACAAAGTTACACTTGAAAATCCCTGAAATCCCCTGGGTGATTTGTACATACAACCTGTACAGCCATATATCACTGTGTAAACGTATCACCATGTTTGTTTCTTCCATCTAACACTCCCTGAGACAGATGATTAGTGAGTGGAATTTCAGGCAAATACCTTCCCTGTCCTTTACAGTATTTTTTTTCTCTGACTGTATATGACTGTATATGCATTAACTAATGTGCAAAAGCTATGGCTTCATTGTGGAAAGAGCAAGGCTGTGGAGTCAGACGGACCACATCTGAATTCCAGCTCTGCCACTCAAAGTGTGGTCCACTGACCAGCAGCTGCCACATCACTTGGGAGCTTGTTAAGAATGCAGACTCAGTCCCATGCCAGAGTTCCTAATCAGAATTGGTGTTTTTACAAGATCCTCAAGTGATTGGTATGCCTATTATAGCTCAAGAAGCCCTGAGATTAGTTACTACCTGAGGCTTATTGTAAAAGGCTGTGTAGGGTTGTCAGGGTTCAGTGACATGTGGCACCTAAATTAGCGCCCAGCGTCCAAAGATGCTCAGTGATAGCTCTTTTCCCCCATCACCGAATGCATTTGCTTTATGTAAGCATGAGGAAAAGTGATACTTTTACAGAAGAGGAATGATCTTTAAAATTTCTCTTGTTTTAATTCTCTCAAGTGAAAGGCCCAGGTGAAATGTCAGCTTTTCCAAGAATGTGTCATAGGCCCCCAGTGAGAATTAAACTCTTCCTTCCATGTACCAGGAGCACTTTGAGACTTTTATTGGTTACGTATACACATCTGTCTGCTCCGTCGAGCGTGTAAGCTGGGCTCAGGAACCAAGCCCTATCCACTATCTCCTTCTCCACAAGTCCAGGTACAGTGCTTTTCCACACAGTTCAAGGGCAACTGAGGTTTGAGAAACTGTGCAAGGTATAGTGGCAAAGCCAGAAACAAAATATTATCATTACTATGGCCAGGTCAACAAGCTTCCATAAATGACAACCGTTTATGTGGTTCCCAGATGTTTAACATTTTGGAACCATTTCAGAATAATCCATCTCATCTCCTTACCAACAGATGTGCTATTCTACCACTTCCTTCATCACGTGACTGACCTGAAACGGAACCAGATCACAATTGTGTTTAACATGCTGGACTGGAAGGCTGTGGGCGAGATTGGTTTTGACCAGTTCTACATGCTGGTTTGCATACTGCTGGCACAGGAGGCAAGTAACAAGTCAGGCTCTGTGGAGCAGAGGGGGCACAGCTTGGCTGCTGCCACCATTTTGCTAAAGGTAGCACCGAATTGAGAGTGCATCAGAATTTTTCTTTTCACTTGAACCAGGAAGAAAAAAAATGGCGGGAGAACTACTTTTGCTTCCTAAATGGCCCATCTATAACCTAGGAGTTTCCAAAGGTTATCCAGCCTCCCTCCCACATTGCCTTTATAAAGAACGAATCTCATCCTGTCACATCCCTCCTTGGCATGCCCTTCCTTGCCCCTTCTAGCTGGTGGGTCTTAAAATAATCACCAGTAATCCTAATTGCCTCTCTTCCTCAGTGATCCCTTTTCTCAGAGAACTTTCTGAAGGGGATGAATGATAAAGACAAGACACACCCTTCTTTGGGTTCCCACCTTACCTGGTACACACTCCTAGTGTGTATTTACCTCTTTCCCACTCCTTGAGGAAAGGCACCTTGTGTCAGCATTTTACTGCCAGTGCCACAATTTTCATAAGTAGATTTTCACTGAACATAAAGAAATACATTCTAGTGACTAGAGTTCTGTCTAGCAGAACCAATCACTACAGGTGGCATAAGTCCCCCCTGAATGCAGATGATGAAGCAGGATCTGGTACATCGACCATAGAACCCTTTCAGCCCTGAGCTGCTATGATTCTGCGTTTTGCTTTTAGCTCTCTAGGAAATGGATTAGTGAACATATGAGTCTTGATGTCGCAAGTTTAGAAAGTAGCACCAACAACATATTTACATATTTCTCTCAAAGCAGAACCATTTGGAAGAGCAATTTATTTTCCGCCATTCCCGGCCTGTTTTTGAGCTGCTTGACCTGGATGGGGAGCTGAAAATTGGCCCATCCAACTTCCACATGTACAACTTTCTCTTCAATATTAAAAAACAGCAACTCAGAGACCTGTACCGTGACTTTGACATCACAGGTGACTGTGTAAGTGCAGATCCCTAAAGTGTGGCCCGGCAGCCCCTCTGTACAAAGGTAGAGGACCAGGTCCTGCTACCTACACTGGAGACGGGGGAGGAAGAGGGTGGGAAAAACCTACTGGAGCGTGTCATGGCTCTGGGATCATAAAAAACTAAAGAGATATATAGGCCTGTAAGAGAGGACTGAATAACTAAGTGCTACGTCACAGAATGTGGATATAAAATTATAGAAGTTTGGAGAAGGAAATTTTGTTTAGAAGTTCAGCTGAAAGAAGGAAATACATCAATATGGCAGAAGTTGGTCTTAGGGGAAGGGTTTATAGATTTTAATAAGCAGAAAGGAAGAAATTCTTAGATGGGAACACATGAGCTAAATCCCAAGAGAAAACAACTGTGGAGAAGACAGTGGATTCTGCCTATTTAAAGAGGAAGTCCATGTTGACTAACAAGTGAGAGCTAAGGTTTACGGTTTAAAAAGATGGATCATACTCTGAAGCAGCTCAGATGGCAGCCTGACGGAGTCTGGACTTGATGTAGCAGAAGTAAGAAAGTGACCCTTGGTGCCTTTAGAGTCTACAATAGACTCTCTGTTCCTGGCTCCTCGACTACAATTAGACTATAATTATGTCCCTGGGCCTCTTTAATAAAGTTTCCAAGGTTTTAAATGAGAAATGATTACAATCCTGCTGTCATCTGAAACAAAGTATCAAAGCCTTCCTGAAATAACTTTTCTTTTTGCCCCCCAACACAAGCGTCTTAATTACAAGGAATTTAAGCTGTTTACTATCTTCTCCATGGACAAATACCAGGAGAGTCAGAAAGCAGCGAAAGAGAAAGCTCTGCCCGAAAAGAAAGTGTCACAAGTTAATGTGAGCCAAAGAGAGAGTCTTCTTGGAATAAATCATTTTGAAAGTATAAGTAATTACAATTGTTAACATCTCTAAAAATAAATTTAGAACATCAAAGTAGATATCTTTAAATTGATTTTTACACATGCGGGGTTCAGATAAGCACTCCTCCATCAGCATATTCTTAACTTTAATAACCTTTAGACCTCACAAATGACTCACAGTTATGTAAGTGAAGTAAAAACTTTCTCTTTGTTGACATGTCCTAACTCTGCTGCTGCTTTTCAGATCAACTCTGTCCATTAGGTCCCTGTGTATCCAAATAATTACCAACTCTTACTGGAGCCAAGCAGTCGGAAGGTGGTGCTTTCCTAACATTTGTCACTGGTGGTCCAATACTTTCAGAATTCTAATTCTCCCACTCCTTAGGCTACAACAAACTTCAAATTGGCAAATGTCGAAGTGCCTCCAACCATAAGGGAAACTGACTTTTAAGGATATGGGGACTGTGTTCTTCCTAGAATTTAAATTACTCTTTGATGAGTTAAGTGCTTAAGCAACTATACCAAATCTACTAGGGTAAAATAATTATTACATGCCCTTGTATAATTCTATTTTTTTGTATAATTAATGCTTTGAATAATTTTTAAGTGTCTTTAGCATGGGATTTGTGAATCCTCCTTGACTACTGTGATGTTAATAATGATAACGAACACTGATAACGACCACTGAGTAAGTGCTTGCAATGGGTCAGGCAGGGGCTTTAGACGCATGAATTTATCCCCTAACCCTGCGAATTAAGTGTTATCCTCAATTTACAGATGAGGAAATTGAGGTGTCAAGATTAAGAACCTCGGGCTTCCCTAGTGGCGCAGTGGTTGAGTCCGCCTGCCGATGCAGGGGACACGGGTTTGTGCCCCGGTCTGGGAAGATCCCACATGCCGCGGAGCGGCTGGGCCCGTGAGCCATGGCCGCTGAGCCTGTGCGTCCGGAGCCTGTGCTCCGCAACGGGAGAGGCCGTAACAGTGAGAGGCCCGCGTACCGCAAAAAAAAAAAAAAAAAGATTAAGAACCTTACCCAAGGTTCTTAATGACTCACTAGTGGCAGGACCAGAGTTCAGATTCAAGGTCAATTAGACGCTTGTACTGAGAACAAGTGATTTGAGTAACTCACTTCAGTCTTAGCAGATTCTGTTTAAGTTTTAAGCTGGCGTTTCACTGGCTCAGAAACCCCTTCTACCTAATGCTAATTACCACATCTCCTTCTACCATAGATTTCTGAGGGACATGTTTGGTGATTAAAGAAATACAGCTCATTTACTATAAACCAAGAATTTCTTAAGGAAATAATATATGCATTATAACTGACCGTAAGGCATTCAGTGAGTTCCAGAGTACTTAATAATCAAAAATCACTTTGTCAATGTGCAACAGACAAGAATACTGCCTAAGACTGTCATTCATAAGTCACACGTAATAGCTGAAATCATGTTAATTACTATGAACATTCTCTATATTTACTCTAATAGTCATGAGATTTGGATAACACACTTATGAGTAATGCTTAGCAGCCAAAACTTTTGTCTTCCCCACAACGGTACTACAAAAACTAAATGGAGCTAGCAGGAATCCCCTGGCGGTCCAGCGGTTAGGACTCCGTGCTTTTGCTGCTGAGGCCGTGGGTTCAATCCCTGGTCGGGGAACTAAGATCCCATAACACAAAGTAAAACCACATGACACAGGTTTCCTCCTAGACTGTCAAAGATCAGTAAGTTGGTCAGGGACTTCCCTGGTGACGCAGTGGTTAAGAGTCCGCCTGCCAATGCAGGGGGCATGGGTTCGAGCCCTGGTCGAGGAGGATCCCACATGCCACAGAGCAACTAAGCCCATGTACCACAACTACTGAGCCTGCACTCTGAAGCCCGCGAGCCGCAACTACTGAGCCTGAGTACCACAACAGCTGGGCCTGCATGCCTAGAGCTGGTGCTCCACAATAAGAGAAGCCACTGCAATGAGAAGCCTGCACACCGCCACTAAGAGTAGCCCCCGCTCACCACAACTAGAGAAAGCCCGTGCGCAGCAACAAAGACCCAATGCAGCCAAAAATAAATAAATAAATAAATTTACGGGAAAAAAAAAAGTTGGTCAGAATATAGGAAAATAAGAGCAGTCATATCGCTATAGTATTAAATTGGTTAAAATCTATTTGGAGGGCAATTCAGCATCTACTCCCTAAATGTATATACTGTTTGATATAGCAATGTACATAGATGTAAAGATGCAGCTATAGAAAAGGACATTTCACAGTAGCATGGTTTACAGTACCAAAAGACTAGAAACAGCCAGACTGACCTGTGGTACTCCAGACAATGGAATACTACTGCACCTGTAAGAGGAATGAAGCAGATCTAGCTCAACATATATGGAACAATCTCTAAGACTAACCATTTTAGAAAAAAATCAAATGTATAGAATAGCATATGTTATTTATGGAAAAAACAGGGTAGGGCAGGTAAATATACTCACATACACTAAAATAGTGGTTCTCACATTGGGATCCCCAGACTAGTAGCAGCAGCATCACCTGAGAACTTTTAGAAATGCAAATTATTAGACCCCACTCAGACCTACTAACTCTGAACCTCTGGGGGAAGAGCACAGCAATCTGTGTTTTAATAAGCCTTCCAGGTAATTCTGATGCATGCATGCTGAAGTTTGAGAACCACTGTGGTAGAGCATCTTTAAAGATATCCAGAAAACTGGGAACAGCTGTTACCTCTGGGGAGAAGAAATGGGAGATGAAGAACAGGCATCTTCAGAGAGACTCTTCACTTCGGTATGTTTGGATTTTTTTTTCCCATGTGTATGTATCACTTATTTTAAATAAAAATTAACAATCAAAGCCTACCACTTTGATCCAAAATGGATAAAGAAATGAGCTCAGTGCTTCTGAAAAACTGAATTATGGGTTTTGGTTTACAGCATGATTCTTTTTTTTTTTTTTTTTTTGCGGTATGTGGGCCTCTCACTGTTGTGGCCTCTCCCTCTCCGGACACGCAGGCTCAGCGGCCATTGCTCACGGGCCCAGCCGCTCCGCGGCATGTGGGATCTTCCCGGACCAGGGCACGAACCCGTGTCCCCTGCATGGGCAGGCAGACTCTCAACCACTGCGCCACCAGGGAAGCCCTACAGCATGATTCTTAAAAGAAAAAAACAACAACCTATTTGAGACCAAGATTTCAATGCAGCAAATAAAGTATATCTATAAATGACCATGTATGGTTTGACATAGCAGAGCCTAAGTTTGGTAGTAATGAACTTGTTAGTTACTGAGCTGGGAGGTTTTAAAAAGGGGAAAAACCTTTTTAGAGGTTATCATCAGAATGAAGCAGATTACCCTTATTGTGGAGAGTAATAATAATTAAAAACCCAGAATAAAGGCAAAGACAAAGAGAAAAATTGAACTTTTTTTTTAAAAAAAGCACAAAAACCCTACATACTAAAATTGTACACATCAAGTATTGGTCCAATCTTATATCAATCTATTTACAATTAAACAGCACCATGGTTTTCTCACCTAGGTTAGTTAAATGCCCAGAAAATTGTTATTCAAAGTACATGTTCCTTTAAAATAAAATAAACTATTAAGAGAGCTCCAATCCTCAACAAAAAAACTTCTACCAACTATAGATTATTATATCACCAAATTTACTTAAGAAAAATAGATCTGAACACTTTTTTTGTCCTCCAGTTGACAAACTTTGAGAGATGTTGCTGTTCAATGTGACACACAAATTAATAAGGAAACATTTTGATGACAGGGGCATTATATTGAAATACCCTCGCATATCTCCACCTCCATATATAAAAATACTCCTTTGGAATTAATGCTGCTGTTGCCTCTTGAATTTAGATTCAATTATCAGTAAACCTAAATTAAATGTAGCCACAATCTTTAAAATGATTGCATGAAAAAGAGAAGCAGTTAAAGCTCTCAGAAACATGATATGTTACAATTATAGATATTATGTGCAATCAGGCTATAGGAAATTTAATAGTATTTTAAACATTACATTTAAACTAGTTTCATTTTGCCATTAAAATTAATAATGGTGCTTCACATCCAAAATACATGTGAAGGTTTGATTATTTCTCATTTGAGAACAACGTTAAGTGCCTTCTTGCCTCTACTTTTCCATCTCATGGATTCTCAGGGGTTCAGAAATCACTTGGTAGCCCCCTTCTCACGTATGGAACCAACCTTGAAAAGGCTCCAAATTAAATATAATCCTTGGCAGCTTTGTTCCTAGTACAGAAGGGTCAGGTTATCTCACCAAATTTTTCAGTCCTCTAATATAATCTGCAGATGCTTCTTAATTTGCCTCTTTGCTAGGAAAGATGAGAGAGGAAAATTCTCATCCACCACAACTACAGGTAACAGTGAACTATGGAAAGCACTAAAGTATAAAGCAACGTATCAGCATTTGGTCTCACTGTCGATGTTTAAGTGATGTCAGTAAATCTTTCACTCTAGCAAATTATGAGTTGAAATTTTTTCTATAAGACTGAAGACAGGCACAATTCTCCCAGGCACAGACAGAATGGGTTTTCCTTACACCCTTCCTGCAAATTGGGGGAGAAGAGATAATTACTTTATTATCCTACAGTAGGAACAGCTGTACTTGATTCCATGCATATCCATGCATTTGGGGGCACAGTTAGCTCTGAAAAGTTCTAAGCAGAGTAGGTAGATCAATGAAGGTTTTACATAGTAGTGTCCTTCTAAGCCTGGATATGAAACAGCTTCATTATATAGACATTTCAAAATACCTATGCAGCAAGAGGACAATAGACTTTTCAACTAAGTTATCAGTTGAAAGTCAGAGATCTGAATGCACTGACTAAATTATTGCCTAGTGTTCCAGAAAGATGCCTGCCACCAACGTGCTGGAAGGCACCAAAATTTAGTGTGAATGAAAACAAGGAGCTCAACATATGGGGATGGGGAAAGCAATATTGAAACACAGTTTGCCAGTCTCTACTCCTTTATGGCTAAATATTAATTGAGCAAGGAATTAAGACCAGAAAAGAAGAGAACCTCAAGTACTGCTCTTTTCAGTTTCCATTTTAAAAAGCTCAAGTTTTATAATGTTATTGATGATTTCTGGAAATTGTATTTGATTTATTTTTTAAGAATTCTATATTCACAGGTGCTTGGTGCTGTTCTGCATGGATGCAATGTTCTATTTACAGTCCAAATCATTTAAATACAGCCATTATATAGTTGTTGGGTATTTTAAAATAAATGGTTATCTATTTCTTAACTGCCTCTTGAATTAGAAACTGTAATTACATGAGTCTCAAAGGCTGGCTCTTTGTGTTTTATTAATTATTTTCGTTGGTCTCCATCACAGATGGAAGTTTTCACTGGTAATTCCTCAGAATTAAATCCATTCAAAAGGAATTCAGAGCAGTGAAAAATTTCACGCCATAGAGTAGGAGATGATAACAACAACAATAAAAAGGAGCAGGAGGGATCTAGGGACAGCCAGCAGGACCAGTTCAGTTCTCAACTGGTGTTGGGTTTTGCAAAGGTTGGCTCATTATAACCTGTACAACATAGTCCTTTGGGATCTTCAGCTCTTCCAACTTCATTTTGTCGGTGAGAGGTCTGCCAGAAAAGAACCACCGCTGACTAGCCGGTTCCACTCCTTCTGCTGCAATCAATGCTTAGACCAAATTAATGGGAGATGCCAATTACATTGGGATATCTTTTTAGGAAATGAATCAGCTAACCTTAAAAAAAAAAAAGGCAAAACCCCCAGATCCCTAAGCTCAATTCTCCACAACACAGTGTTCCAGAGTGGTTCTCTTAGTGCCTAGACTTCCTAAGTTGAAGTACTTGGCCAGAAGTCCTCAGTCCAAAGAAATCACAAACTAGAGATGACAAGCTTACCAGTGCCACTGTCTGATGGCTTATGTATGGATCTCATTAGCACAACTACCACAGAAATGACTGAGGTGTTTTATTTAACCCTAATTAGTCAATCTGTTACAGAGAAGCTTTGAGTTAAAAAGGAAGAACAAAAGAGGTATGAGGTTTATAACTGGCTAGCTCAGGGGAGGGGGAAAAAAGTGTTTATGGTTTAAAAGAAGGTATTCATGGTTAATTTCTTTATAAAGTATAAACCACTGTAATTACCAGAGCTTCCCTTGGGGAACTTGAAAGCATACTTAATTAATGTTTTATTTTAAGGTTATTCATAATGTGTCTTTTGCTCAAACTGGAACATTAATGTCAGCTGATTATCAATTTGGATAAAAACCAAAAATATCTACCATATTCAGAACACTCATACACAGGCTAATGAATATGGGGCGTGGACACTGAGAAATGGTTACCAATGAACAAATGAGTCAATAAACTGATCTCCATCAGTAGGCTGAAAATCCAAAGCATCCCAAATGAGACTGGAACAGTCACCAATCCACCAAGGGTTGAACTGGGCCTGCTTTCTAAGTTACATATGATGGGCTGGGGTGAGAACTCAGGCACCAAGCATTAATACACGCAAATCTCCCCTTTCCTCTGTATTTAAAAATAATGTTCAGCCTCTGTGTTATTCACTAATCTGAACACTGCTATGACTGTAGAAATAGATATGCTTCAAGCCCAGTTGTGATCACCAGCAGTTCCCTACACTAGTAACCATCACACTGCAGTATAAATATTATTTATAAATAGTCAGTTGTGCAAACTTCACTGTTTATATACTTGATATAGCCTTGTCCTAAGGCAAAGAAACCTCAGTGCCTTTCAGGTGGGCTGACCATTAGGAAAACTAGCAAAGAGAAGGTGGAGAGTTCACTACAGACTCATCATCTCTCTCAGGAAAATACCTTCAGATATATATCCCATTGATACTGGGGCGTCAGTAATGTCAGCCTGATAGGAACAAGAACATATATATTTACATAACTGTTCTGCTAGAAAAACATTCTCTAAGAGAGGCACCATTCTATATCATTACCTTTGGAATCAGGAGACCAAGATGATATTCCCAGCCTCTTTATTAACTAGGTGTACAACCTTGAGCAACGTTCTTTAACCTGTAATACTTCTCTCAATTAGCAAAATGAGGCAGGATAAAAATGACCTCTAACGTGATTTCCAGGTTTGCACATGCTGCTTCATCTTCATGCACCACAAGAGACAGAAAATAAAAGTGCAAACCAAAGCTGTCAAACTACAGGCAGAACAATGTCTTGACCGAAAGACAGCCTGTATTTTTAGCCTCCCTAGAAACCAGGACGAGAGGTGCCATGGCAGCCTCTAGCGCAGTGCTCAAACAGTAGTGCATGCCAAGCTTAGAACAAATGTACAGTCTAACAGGCACTCTGGCTCTTCCTAGAGCTGAATACTCACTCTTTCATCACAGTAGAAAGCTGAGTCTTTCCCCTTCTGCCCTTCAGCCCACCAAGTCAGGGGTTCAGTTTTCAGACTCAAATGGGTGAGAATAAAAACTCCACTGAAGAGGTACAGCTGAAGATGGCATATCTTCTTATTCTAGCTCAGGCAGCCTCCCATCTATGAGGCTGGAAATCAGCTATCCAGACTCTATTGCTTAGAAGCTCCCATATTCCAATATTGTGGGGAAAGGTAACTTGCAATTTATTTAACATGAAGTTTCCTGGTTTATTCCTTTCCTCACTCCTACCAGTCAAATTATACTGTAATCTGAGTTATAAATATGCTCTAGTTTTAGATTAAACAAAAAACTAAATAGGGGAAGAATTCAGGCCATGAAGTCGAATATCATTTAATTACATTTTTAGGCTGCAGTTTTATGGGTTACCCTATCCCCAAATTAAATATCTGGGATCATAAAGTATCAATAAAAATAATCAATATAGCCCAGAGCTGAATATTACCCCAAAATTACCTATTTAGAGCAAAATGGCTCCTCTGCAGGCTCAAACTCCTTTGAATAATATACTCCTAAATCCTCCACCACTTTATGGCCCCACATCTCTTTATTAAAGAAAAAACTGCTCTGCTAATAGGGTCTCTAATCACACAATCTCTTTAGGACTTCATAAAGATCACTAGAAGACAATTCTCGCGTTCCAGAGTTGCTGCATGAACACTTACTAAACACCTGGAAGTGTGTAGGATATGTCACTGGCACTAAGTAGCGAAGGCTACAAGAGAGCCAAGACTGTCCTTGACCCCCAGGAGCTTATAATCAAGGTGAGAAGACACAGCATACCCACCAAAGATTTAAATACAAATTGACACACTGAAAATCAAACATAGGAGTTGAGATATCACACAACAGAAATGTGACTAGAGTTGGTAGAGCCAAGAAGGAAAAATTCTGTAGAAATAGTGTGTCCTGGGCATGACACAGAATACAAATGTAGGGCATCCCAAGAAATACGAATGATATGGAAACAAGAATTAGTACAAGAGGGACTTCCCTGGTGGTGCAGTGGTTAAGACTCCGTGCTCCCAGGGCAGGGGGCCCGGTTCAATCCCTGGCCAGGGAACTAGATCCCACATGCTGCAACTAAGAGTTTGCATGCCACAACTGAGGAGCCCTCGAGCCACAACTAAGGAGCCCGCTTGCCCCAACAAAGGAACCCGCTTGCTGCAACTAAGACCCAGTGCAACCAAATAAATATTTTTTTAAAAGAAGAATTAGTACAAGATAAGTAGGGAATAACAAGTGGCTCTGCTGAGGTGGAATACACAATCAATGGTGTGAAATTACTAAACAGAGAGCAATAGTGAAAACCTGATAGGAGGGTTCAGGAGTTTAGACTTAATACCCTAGGAAATTTCTAGAGGAGGCTAGTATAGGTACATGCGGCTAATATAGGTCCATGAGTCATTCATCCAACAAATATTATTGAGTGCCTACTATATGCCAAGCAATGTTTCAGGTGCTAGGGTTATGCTAGTGAAGAAGACAAAGCCTAAAGATTATTTTATTAGTTGCATGAAGGGAGAGTGACTGACTGGAATCAGGGGACCCTGCTAAAATGACTGGCTAACAATGCAAAGAAATGGATCTGAGAGAACTGGTGGTAAGGGGCGAGAGCTAATGATAGGTTAGGAAAGGAATCACCTAACCATGAAATGAGAGTGACACAGAATTTAGGGTTACAAGATTCTCTGCTTGGATTCTTTCTTTCTTTTTTTTAAATTAATTAATTAATTAATTAATTTTTGGCTGCGTTGGGTCTTCGTTGCTGCACACGGGCTTTGTCTAGTTGTGGCGAGCGGAGGCTACTCTTCGTTGCGGTGCGCAGGCTTCTCATTGCGGTGGCTTCTCTTGTTGCGGAGCACAGACTCTAGGCGTGCAGGCTTCAGTAGTTGGGGCACACAGGCTAGGCAGTTGTGGCTTTCAGGCTCTAGAGCGCTGGCTCAGTAGTTGTGACACACGGGCTTAGCTGTCTGCAGCATGTGGGATCTTCCTGGACCAGGGATCAAACCCATGTCCCCTGCACTGGCAGGCGGATCCTCAACCACTGCGCCACCAGGGAAGCCCTCTGCTTGGATTCTTAACTGCTTTAGGTTCAGGGAGATACTTCAATTGAGTTATCTGAAAGTAACTGAAGAAGCATATTGGGAAAAGGGTAAAAGCAGTTTGTAGAGTAATAATCTCGAATGTGTAAGTTTAAACATAAAAGCAAACACTTAAGAGGGCTTACTAGCTCTGTCTAAGCACTTTACATACATTAACACTTGATCCTCACAACAGCCCTCTAAGGTAAGTCTATCATATACTCATTTTACAAATGGGAAAATTGAAGAAGAGAGAGGTAGCTTGCCCAGGGTCAGAGACGGTTAAGTAACACAGTAAAATAATCTGATTCCTGAAGAAGTCAATGTGTAACATAGGGATAAGGCTATAGGGCTTGTGACAGCTCTACAAGACTCCCAGGTTAACGATATGGTTAAGGTGAGGAATAAATGTGCTTCGAAAAAGGCAGAGGACAAATACCAGAGGGATGAAGAACCAAATGTGAATCACAAGGAGCAAGAAACCAACACTCCAAATGCAGCCCAACAATATGTTTGCCAGTGATGTTAGTGACAGGTCAAAGAAGGATCTGGAAGATGAGGCAAAAGAAAGTGTTGACTAAGAAGTTTCAGTGCTGAGAAGCCACCACATGTAGTGACAAAATGGACCTATTACTATCACTGTCTCATCTATGATATTTGAGAGCAATGTGTAAAAAACAGGGCATGGTTAGAAGAGAGTTTTGCTTAAAGAAACACTATTTAAACACAGAAGGGAAGGAACCACTCTAAAAGTTGATAACATAAGGACTTTTTTACGTTTCCAAAAATCACTCCTAGCTATGTTTGCATATGCAATTTACAAAAGGATTTTAATCATCACCCACTGGCCACTGACGGTGCAGTTCATCTAATAATTCTTCACTAGTTCTAAAGACATTCTAGCCAGGCTTGCTTAGATTGCTCACCTAAGTACACTTGTCTTTTTTTCCCCTTCTCCTCAAAAACCCATTATAGGCCTCACTCAAGTCCTAGCAGAGACAGATGGCCACCGGGATAAATGACTGCCAGGCCACTGCTTCCGCAGGTCAGGAAGCCCTGAAAGCTCCCCAGGGTAGGAAGAAAGCTGCCAAGACTACCGTCTGTTCTGATTTCATACATAACTTTTTTTTTTTTTAATTTTATTTT